TTCAGCGAGATGTAATCAGCAGGCTTCCTCATCATCCAATTGCTATCAAAGATGGCGCCAGCAACGGACTGTTTTGGTGGATGACATTGATTAGATAGAGATGCGTGATGGGGGGCGTAAGCACGGGAGGTTTGGTATCAAGTAAAGAGGCGGGTAACAGCGCAGTGGAGGAGGTCAGGTGGGGTGACCCAGTATTGAGAGAGGGGGTACGTGATGCGATTAAGTTTTTAGTGAGCGTTGGAATGATTGGTTGGAACGGGGTCAGGTGAGATGAGATGGTGGGTTAGTTTTCACAGTCAAAATCGAGGAGAGCATGGAAAACAATAGCAAGATTGGGCGCCGAACGATTATAACGCATGAAATAAATCGAAATGTCAGCGCAAATAATTTTAAAAAGAGAAGATTGGCGCCGTGTGCGGGCTCGAGAGAGGGGAGATCGGTACTCACGAGACCTGTCGTAGTCCCAATGAAGCGGACCAAAAAGAAGGCACCAGTGGCAGCTGCTAAGTCCCGCTTTGGAAGAGAATTGGTGATAACCTGGAACGGTGTGTGGAATAGAATGCCAATGCCTATTCCGGCAATTAAAGGATAAACCTCCTGAGCGACCATTCCAGAGCGTTCATTGAGAGTGATCATGAGACCTATTCATAAATACGAAATCAGTAATGGAGTCTCGACGCCTAAACGCTGAGCGGTTGATGTTGATAAGGGTAAGGGAGGCGAAGGGACGAGATGGGATTGGATAAAACACGAGGTCAAGGGAAAAAAACAAATGTCGATTGCGTCAGAGGAGAGGAAGGCGATGCACGAGTGAATGCGTCGAAATTTCCTAATTAGTGGGTTTGACATGTGGGTGGCTGGCTTGCTTGCCGGGTGGCTGGGCGTCTGTGGCGAGATCCATGTAGATTGCGTTTCCCTTTGTGTTGCAGAAAAGGGGGAGTGGAAATGGGTCTTGGGCAAGGCGATTGTGTGTGTATGGATCATGGCGGTGGCAACGGAAATGTGGGTGGGGGATGGGCAATGGAAAAAGAGAAGAGCACGCACCATAACCTATTGCAGATAATGCCAACCCCAAGGCAATGCAAATCTTGACGGTGCGATCGATCCACTGGTGCCCAGGGCGCCAACTGATGAACCAAGCCGTTGGAATCGTCACCAAAGCAGCACCAAGCGAGAACGGTAAAACTTGCATTCCGGCTACGAGCGGTGACGTTCCATGGAGAGCCTGATAATAGAGCGGGATGTAGTAAGTTCCGGCCGTGAATGCAAAATTGTGCAAAATCGAAATGATGAGAATATTGACGATGGTGAGTTTTCTGAATATTGCCGAGGGAAGTAATGCATTCGATGGATTGGGCTGGAACGTCTCCCAGATCCCTGCGAGGATCAGAGCGCACACGCCAGAGATGAGGAGGCCTAGGGTGCGAGGCGACTTCCATGAATTGTACCCCGCAAACGAGAAGCCGATGACGAGCGCTGAGGTTCCTCCCATAAGCAGTAACCTATTCAGCCACAAATAGAAAGAGGGAGACAGGCAAATGTGTGAGCCCAATTCTTCGCCAACAGTATCGTATAATGAAGTGGAGGTGGTGTAGAGGGCAGGGGGATTCATAACGGCAAAGGATAACGATTGAATGAGGGGGATCCTGGACGATGACGATGAAAGGAAGAGGGAAACATGATTGGAAAATGCTCCAAAAACTCACAGCCCAATGTAATCAAACGTCCGAAGAGCATGCTTCAGAGCTACGTTTCTCGGTCGTGTATCCTCTGAGCCATCCGGTAATTTGCGCACGAGATGGACTCTTCGGAGGAAGTACCATAGCATGGTGAGCGCGGCCATGCCAATCGGCAAGTTGATGTAGACTAGGGGTAGCGAATTGATGGCCGGAGTCGAATACAAACGAGAGACAGGCATGGATTGCAAAGGGCCCCCATCGAGATCATTATTATCCACATAGAGAAGGGCAATATGATCAGCGAACACTGCACCATGAACAAGTCATTGTAAACTTACAAGCCCAACGCCACGAGATGGAGCCTAAGGAGGAGGTTATCATCAGTGGAATTGCCCATGCATTGAGTAAGGAGGATGGAGCTACAAAGCTCCCTCTCTGACACGAGAGAGAGAGGCCTTGGAATCATTGAAAGATAGAGAATACGTACCCGTGAACAGACCACCGAGAATAGGGCCGGCTACGGCTGAAGCACTCCATGTGACACTGAGCGCTTGGGACCATTTAGCTTGACTGCCAGGCGGTACGATTTCGGTTGTGAGGACCCAGACCGAGTTCACGATCCCTCCACCTCCAATTCCCGATAAACCACGAGCCACGATCAGCCAGCGCATGCTCTATTGTGTATTTTATCGCCATGTTCCATCGATAGATAAGGGGTGATAAAGTGGTTGTCGCCGACCGCAAATAAGTCGATAATAGGTGGCAGGGTCGGTTCCATAGACCAATAATGGGAATTGTGTTGTTGGAGGCAAACGTGACAGAAGGTTTGATTATCATCAGCCCAATTTCCATTGCGAAGGGGAGAGAGATAGATAGACCCGGGGGTTTGAGATGGGCATTGACAATTGACATACCTGTGCCGCGCCGCAAAGGGCAGAACCGACGAGAAAGATGAATGTACTTGCGTAGATGACGGGCTATACAGGGCAAATCATGTGAGACCCCCGTCCCCAGTTCAGAAAACGCGAAGGACGGATAAAGAAGTCAAGGGCATTGGGATCACGCGGGATAGGGTAATGTTGTGCGGATTTGAAGGATGCGATCAGTGGCTTTTGATGTGAATTGAAAAACGCGACGAGGACAACGAGGGGCAAGGAGGTGGTCAAGCGTTCAATGAACCGATGACCGCGTCCAGCAAAAGACCAGAAATGACAGGATGGGGATATAGAAGGAAATTTGAGGGCAAGATGATGGCTGCGAAACGAACGGGGAAGGGAGAAACCAACTCACTCTACGACCAAATACATCCGCGAGTTTCCCGTACAGGGGTTGACAGGCCGTCTGTGTAAGCAAATATGCCACAGGAACCCATGCATATTCGTTCTGGGTCCCGTGTAACTCGGTCACGATGGTGGGCAAGGAGGTCGAAACAATCGTCTGTGTATTTTTGTGAGTCAATATCCAAAAGAGGCGATTTGCGGTCGTAAAAAAGGAACCCGGTTATTCGAATGAATGGCGGCGTCTCCTCTTGCTCAGCCAGACAAAGTCTGGATTATGTCCTTCCAATTCCATCGACCGGCACGGTCACTTCGGACCGGAGCTCGCCCTCGAAAAGGAAAGCCTAAGGCACGCGATGGGGAAGAGTGTGTGTTGGTTTGGGATAGAGATTGCGCGCGCGCGCGTAATGTGGGTTTCGAGAACAGAATACTCACAGCGTCACTCGTCGCGAGGAACTGATTGATCATGAGTCTGTAATTCAGTTTGGGCGGTGCCATATTCGTCAGAATTCCTCATTCAGTGCGAGCGATTGGAGGAAGGCGAGAAAGAGAGAGGCAAAAGGGGGACTTCTGGGCAGGAGCCCAGGACATGTCAAAAGAAGGGCCCACAGAATGACACTCACGCAATCACAATGTATAGAGTCGTTCGGAACGAGAGCTGACTAGACAAGTCATCTGCCCTAATTGAGCTGCCGGCTGAGGAGGGGATTCCTTTCTCGACGTCCAATGAGACCGGGGCTGTGACACAAAGGGTAATGTGTGGGTAAGTAACCCGTAGATCAGATCCAGAGAGAACGCCGAAAGGGAGACAGACTATGGTTGTGGTCAAGGGGTAGCGTAGAGGGAAAGGCGAAGAGGGAACGAGATAGAGCACGACGAAATACGTACAGTTTGCTCGCGTAGTAGATCCACTGTGAAGCGTGTCCATGTCGTGTGGGAGGCATGACTTCTCCGAGAGTGGCGTGCCCACCGTAGTCGGGGGAGAGTGGCTCACCGTGTTCGCGTCGAGCATGTTGGGAGTTTGCAGCGTGGCGGTATGCATTCGTGTCCTTTGTAGGTCTGAGATGTAGTCTCTCGGACAGGGCAGGTCAGTGTAGCTGGGAGATGAGTGTGGGGTGCAGGGTTGGGTAAGAGTATGAGCTCAAGGGGGGGCGAGAGAGAGAGAGAGCGCGAAAGGATATCAGTTATAAGAAGCCGTGCCACCGGCTTGACGGAGATGGGACTTTTAAAGTAGAGAAGGTAGTGTGAAGTCACAAAGGAAGAAACGAAGCCAGCCAGCTGATGGACTAGCGAGAGAGAAGGGGCAGGCCAGTTGATCAAGAGAGAGGATATCTCGCCTCTTCAAGTACTGACTTGGCTTTGCGTAGCCGGTCCCCTATCAAACCCCGGGATTCACGGATTGGAAATAGATCAAGTTAATGAACGATTTTGCATGCGATCTTTGGGCCCAGCTTACCTGAAAAACGAGACGTGCAAATGCGTCAATAGTGAGTTGGGCTTGCCGGCAGCTGTCAGCTCAGCTTTTAGATGGACTGAATGACGTTCCCCCCTCCTCTTGATGTCCTGTCAGTTTTGGAGAGTATGAGTTACAATCGGGAACAGCTTAGACCAGAACAAGTTATATGTACGCGAGGGGGAAGGGAAGGAAATTTGGATGCGAGGAGGTTTGGGTCGTGTGTGTTATGAGATTTGTACGTACGACTATGACAGGTTTGATGCAGGGTCTAGTGACCCTTTTGGCAAGTGATGAAGACGGAGTTTGGGCTGAGTGGCTGAGGGGGGGTAATTAGGGGGGATTGCTACTAGAGAGACAAACAGGGTGGCGGGAGACGAGCAAAAGCGCAAAGGAGACTTTCTAGTACAAGATATGGAGAACAGGCTGGGGAGTAGCACGGAAGAGGGGGAGTAGAGGGGTAGAGAGGGGAGGGGGAGATCTCGCTGGCGGAACGTCTATCTACAACTCGATTTAAGTCAAAAGCACGAGTACATAAAACTGTCTCAACAAAGCCACTGATGCCGGGTCTTGTTTGCATGTCTTGTTCGCAAATTATTCACTAATTAATTGCGATTAGGATAGTCTATTTAATTTTTGCCAGGGTTTTTTTTTGATTTTTATTTTTGTATTTTTCGAGCGCTTGACGTTATCCGGCTCTTGTTCGATCTTGACTCTCTACTGTATTCAGTAACGGGGGCAATTCAGCCCAAAAAACAAAAAAGAAACTCGGAAAATAAATGGTAAATGTTTAAAATTTAGCTCTTTTTCGTGCCACGTTTGTTGCTTGGCCCGCAAGTTTGGTCCAATCATCAGGGAGCTCCGCGCAACGCGCTGCGACACCTCCTTTATTGGGATCAAAAGAGTCTCAGCACGATTCCCAACGGATTCGACGCTTTCATGGGCTTCGATTGCAACAGCCGCGATGTGCGTTCAAAAGTCGAGCTGAACTCGTGCCTTTGTTCGATTTTGGCTCGCCCAATTTCGCAATTTACAAGTCAGTAGTGTCTCTGTTTCGATCTGATCCCCCTCTCTCTCTCTCGCTATCTTTGTCTTTCGTTCTCTCCCCCCTCCCTTCCCTGGCTGAATGAACCCCTCGCCTTGGCTCACTCCTCCGCCCGACCCAACCAGTCCAGTCTAGCCTAATCGAGAAACACGTTTCGAATGACGGGGCGTATGACCATCGCGTCTGCGATCCAGGAGAGATCGCGGATGCCTCTATAACCCGCGCGTCTGGACCTAACTCGATATATAACACATCCCGGACAAGCCCCCCTCACTCCCCTCACAACACACTGTACAGCAGTAACGTGCGTTTTATTGCAGACCCCGTTTGGATATGCACACGCCCCTCCCGTCAAAAAAGATCTCGTCGTGTCGTTAACGCTAACGGAGCCCCTCAATCACGGCATATTCTAGATCTTCAAAAGCTAATTATTACCAACAGCTAGATCAGAAGCAGCATGGCTTTCGGTGTCAATTGGGGGGGCCGGTCGGAGCCTAGCAATTTCCTGTGGATTGTCACACACCCCCCAGGTTTTTTTTTTGGGTTCAAGAGAGATCAACCGAATTATTTTGGTAATTAATTAGGAGTGTATATGGAAATAGTGAATACACCCACTCCCCAAAAGGGGAGAATTGGGTTGTTTATATTTCTAGTCTATTAAGAATTTATTCGCGTAACACAATTCATCCAGCCATGCCGTGCTTTTCAGCTATTATATTTGCCAGGGTGTGCATGTGCCAATTCATGGCGTAGTGTGTATCAATTGAGTGAGTGGTGATGAAGAAGGATCATGATAGTCCCAATCGTGACGAAATGGATTCCGTCGCCCAAAAGCCAAATCCGTAATGAGCGGGATCGAGGGACCCGAGTGAAAATGTTGATCGTGTTTGTTGTGAGGAGCGCAAGAACCGTCAGCCACAACGATCCAGAAGGGAGGAGCTGATGAAGGGGGAAGTGGAGGAGTAAAGTGTTATGGTGGCGATAATTTTATCAGTCCATCCCCAACAGTCCCTTTAATTTCTTCGTCCACGAGCTGCCAGGGTTTGCTGCAGCAGGTTGATCGCGTTCAAGGGGAGGAGAAGTCGTCGCCTCCCCTCCGTCGTCTGACACATAGGTCAGATGACGAAGAGGCAAGAGAGAGAGAGGAGAAACACGAGGAAGGGGTAAATGGGTCAAGCGAGCGAGGGCGCACCGTTTTTCCTATCTTTTCCATCATCTTTGCCT